ACACACACACACACACACACACACACACACACACAAACACACACACACATACACACACACACACACAAACACACACACACACACAAGCCCCCCCCCCTCCCACAAACTCACACAAACAAACAAACAGACAGATGCACAAACACATTTTTTTTCTTCATGCCCCTCCCCCCCCTCTAACTCACCTGCGTCGTAATGATTAGGGTAATTAGGTGACGTAATGACAGTCGGGTATTTCACCTCCACGCTGCACGGGCTTTTCAGGTGATCTATAGATGTTGAAAGAAGAAGAAGAAAAAAAAATAAGAGTGTTAATGGAATTGAATACCTTAATTCATGGGATTAAATATAAAGGAAAGGCGAATTCATTAATGGTTTTGGATTTCTTTCTCGTCGGATTATTCAGGGGGAAAAAAATATGTGTATATATTAGTGGAATTGAATACCTTTTTCGTGTGATTTAAACATGAAAGAAATGTGAATCTACCAGTGGTATTGGATTTCTTTACGGATTAACTTAATTCTCATTTCATTTATTTATCCGTTTCCATGCGAGGAATCTGTTATTCAAATGAACGGGTGAACAATATCAGCGTCGTGAATAGACTTTCCGAAGGACTTTGACTAATTTTTAAACTGAATTGGGCACTGTATTCCCCGTTTTTTTTTTTTTTTTTTTTTTTTTTTTTTTTTTTTTGTAATAGGAAATAGGACAATTTTCTTCCGATTTCTTCATTTTACTTTTACTTTTTCCTTCTTTTTTTCTTTTTTCTTTTTACTGAGTAAATTAGCCTACTTTCTTCACATATATCTATGTAAAATTGGTACATCTCCTTTTTTTTCTTCTTTTTTTTTTGACTGAACACACACGCCGTCATCCTCCAAGTCACATGACAGACAAGAGCGCATGACATCCTTACCGTAATATCCTCCCGTGACGATTTCGCAGAGTCGCCCCTCCGAGCCGGGGGGGCAAATGCACGTGCAACCTTCTCCCAGGTAACCTTCATTCTTGCAAGGATTCCGGTTCAAGTTGCATTTTGCAAGCCACGTGTCTGTTGAAAAGGGAAGAAGAAGAAGAAGAAAAAAAATAGATGGTTGTTAGAAAAAATGGAAAATATCATGGTTGTTATTTTTATTATTGTATTTTTTTATATCTATCTATCTATCTGTCTATTTATTTATTCATCATTATATCTATTTGCATATTCATTAATTTGTGTGAAGGGTATGTTTTTAGGTTTTATATTTTTCTGATCCACTTCACTTTCTCCATTTCTGTTTCATTTGTTTTTTGTCTGTCTCCTATATTTTTTTCTCCCTCTTTTATTTTTTTTCTCTCTCTATCTTTTTATTTACTACATTATCTCTCTCTCTTTTCCCTTTCCTCTTTGTTTATTTATCTATTTATGTATCCATATGTGTATATATATATAGGGAGAGAAAGAGAATAGATAGATGGATATACACTCTCTCTCTCTTTCTCTCTCTCTCTCTCTCTCTCTCTCTCTCTCTCTCTCTCTCTCCTCTCCTCTCTCTCTCTCTCTCTCTCTCTCGCCCTCTCTCTCTGTCTATGTCTCTGTCTCTCTCTCTCTCTTTCTCTCTCTCTCTCTCTCTCTCTCTCTCTCTCTCTCTCTCTCTCTCTCTCTCGCTCTCTCTCTCGCTCTCGCTCTCTATGTCTCTGTCTCCATCTGCCTGTCCGTCTTCTCTGTCTATCTACCCCCCCCCCCCCTCAAGCAAACGACGCGTTGGCTCCGATTGACGATCACAAGTCACGTGATCTCGCCCCTCGCCCCTCGACCCAAGCTGTCCTTTGACCTAGGCCCTAGTCTTCGCCGTGACCAGACCGCTACCCGCAGCCTCAGTCGAGACGCCGCTGGGTTGCTTCTCAAACGGCATTCTTATGTGGCGCTGTTTGTGTTCGTCTGCGATCGCTACTGTGGCATCCCTGCTCTGGCCGGGTCTTTGTAAGCCTCCGTCGTAATAAGGGAAGTTATTGCGCGCACACATACTCACACGCACGCTCTGTCTCTGTCTCTGTCTCTGTCTCTCTCTCTCTCTGTCTCTCTCTCTGTCTCTGTCTCTGTCTCTGTCTCTGTCTCTGTCTCTCTCTGTCTCTCTCTGTCTCTCTCTGTCTCTGTCTGACTGTCTCTCTCTCTCTCTCTCTCTCTCTCTCTCTCTCTCTCTCTCTCTCTCTCTCTCTCTCTCTCTCTCTCTCTCTCTTCCTCCTTTCCTCATTCCACACCCCTCTCCTCTTCGCCTTTCGTTACTTCTCTCCTCTTTTTTCCCTTTCTCTCCTTCTTTACTCTTTCCGTCTCTCTCTAACTTTCTCCTCCTCTTCCCCTTTCTCTCCCTCTCTCCTATTCTTCCCCTATCTCCACCTCTTTCCTTGTTTCCCCCTTTTTCTCCCTGTCTCCTCCCCTTCCCCTTTCTTTCCCTCTCTCCTCTTTTTTTCCCATCTCTCCCGCTCTCGTCCTTTCTTACTTTCTCCCCCTCTCTCCTCCTCTCCCCCTTTCTCTCTCTTTCTCTCCCTCTCTCCTCCTCTGCCTTTATTCTTCCCTCTCTCTCTTCCCCTATTTTCTCCATCTCTCCTCCTCTTCTCTTTACTCTCCTTCTCTCCCCCTATCCCTCCCTCTCGTCCCTTCTTCCCCTTTCTTTCTTTCTCTCCTCCTCTCCCCCTTTCTCTCTCTAGCCCTTTCTTCCCCTTTCTCTCTCTCTCGCCCCTTTTTCCCTTTCTCTCCTTCTCTCCCCCTATCCCTCCCTCTCGTCCCTTCTTCCCCTTTCTTTCTTTCTCTCCTCCTCTCCCCCTTTCTCTCTCTCGCCCTTTCTTCCCCTTTCTCTCTCTCTCGCCCCTTTTTCCCTTTCTCTCCCTCTCTCCTCCTCTCCCTCTTGTCCCTTTTTCCCCTTTCTCTCCCTCTCTCCTCAGCCCCCTTTTCTCTCTCTCTGGCTCCTTATTCCTCTTTCTCTCCCTCTCTCCTCCTCACCCCCTCGTCCCTTCTCCCCCTTTCTCTCTCTCTCTCTCTTCCTCTCCCCCTATCCCTCCCTCTCTCCTCCTCTCCCCCTATCCCTCCCTCTCGTCCCTTCTTCCCCTTTCTCTCCCTCTCTCTCCTTCTCCCTCTCTCTTCTTCTCCTCCTATCCCTCCCTCTCGTCCCTTCTACCTCTTTCTCTCCCTCTCTCTTCCCTCCATCCCCTTTCTCTCCCTCTCTCCTCCTCTCCCCCTCTCTCCTCCTCACCCCCTCGCCTCTTCTTCCCCTTCCTCTCCTTCCCTCCTCCTCTCCCCCTTTCTCTCCCTCCCTCTCCCTTCTTCCCCTTTCTCTCCCTCTCTCCCCTTCTCCTTCCTTCCAATAAACCAAATCCCGTCCGAGCGGCTTCCACCCACGGCAGCTTTTCATCTCGCTTCCCGGGCGATGATGGCACCATAATCCAAACATATCAGTTGCATCCGCTGTTTAATGGGGTGTAGACGTGGTGCCTGACCCGCTCCGTCTTCTTCCCTTTTATTCTCTTATTCTCTTGTTCCCCTTTTTTCCATCTCGTTTTCTTGTCTTTTCGTTTTATTTTTTTTAATGGGTCTGTATTATTTTTTCTTTCTTTCTCGGTTCGGATTCCTATTTATTCTTCCTATTTATCCTTTCCTCTGTTGTTCTTTTTTTTTCTTTCTACTTTTCTCTGTCTATGGTTTATCTCTTTTCTCTTCTCTTGCTCCTTGCTACCATCTTCCATTTTCCTCTCTCCTTCTTCCCTCCTCCCTTTTCAATTCTCTTTCTCCTTCCTTCCTCTTTTCTACTCTCTTCCCCAAGCTTTCTTTCTTCTCCTCATCTCCTCTACCTCTTCTCTGTTCTTCCCTTTATCCTCCCATCCCTCTTATTTTCTCTTTATTTCCTCCGTTTCCTCTTCTCTTCCCCCTTCCTCTTTTTCCCTTTATTCCATCCCTCACCCCTTTATCCCTTCATCCCTCTCTTAATCCACTTTCAATAAATCCAGGAGGCATAGATTGAAAGAGAATCAAAATTCCACTTTCCAGGGCTTTTTTTTATTTTTTTTTATTTTTTGTTTTTTTTAGCCATTTGGGTTTTTTCAAATCTTATTTTCATGATAGAAGGTGTGTTTGGTAGTTCGATCGCCTGTACTGCCTTAGCCCATGGGTTATCTCTCTCTACGCTTTCTTTAATTTCATCGTCATCGAATTCGGTGATTTGCCTGGCGATTTTCTTATAATAATTGTCCTCGTGGCGTCATATTCAGGTGGGTCTTGGATCTTAAAGTGTTGTTTCAGGAAAATCGATTTGCATTCCCTGGACGTCAGCTTTTCGATTGTTTCATTGTTAGCAACTGTGAAAATAAAGGCATTTTTTGTAGTCGTGTACTTTGAGGACAATTATTTTTGTTTGCCCAAAGCATTGGCATAGTTGTGCTCTTCTATTTGTATTGGCAGTTTTTTTTTTTTTGTCTTTGATTCTAATTCTAGCTATTATGAATCGGCTAAGAGTTATAACGGTAGTTCATGTTGCTAAGTGGTTGTTGGCTGAGCTCGGTTGTTTGCGGGCAGTCTGCCATTTGTTAGCCTTCCGTGTAAGCTCGCCGTTTCTATACAACTCTTGAATATACCAACTTATAGAGGATGGTATTTGTCCTAATTCCCTATACTATGCCGGCACTGAACGGGTGTCATGTGCCGGCACAATGACGGCGACCTTACATCTAAGAAGGAGTTTTCAGACCACAACGGCTACCTTCCTAGAATGCAAGGCGGGTCATAGCTTACAGAAGCATCAGTGGGTGTGTGTTTACGGTACGGGTACCCTGGGCTTACTTCCTCCTTCTTCCTCTCTTTCCATCTTTCTTCATTCCCACCTCCCTCCTTCCTCAATTCCACCTACCTCTTTCCCCCTCTTCCTCTTTCCCCCTCCTCCTCTCTTCCTACTTTTCTCTCCTTCTCCTCCATCTTTCCCCCTATTGCATCCTCCTTCTCTTCTACTTTCCCCCTATTTACTCCCTCTCCTTCTCCTCCACTTTTCTCCCCTATCCTTCCCTCTCCTCCTCCACCTTTCCCCCTATCCCCCCTTCCTTTCCTCCTATTTCCCCCTTCCTCTCTTCCTTTCCCCTTATTTCCCCTCTTCCTCCTAAATTCCTTTCCCCCTGTTCTCCCCACTCCTCTTCCTCCCCTTCTCCCCCCCCCCACGGCCCGGAAGTCTCTCGGTGCAGCGTAAACATCGGCTCTCTCGCAAATATCCGAATCGGTCTGTTTACGCGAGAAATTCTCTCTCCCTCCCTCTCTCTCTCCCTCTCTCTCTCTCTCTCTCTCTCTCTCTCTCTCTCTCTCTCTCTCTCTCTCTCTCCTCTCGTCTCTCTCCTCTCTCTCTCTCTCTCTCTCCCTCCCTCTTTCTCTCCCTCTCTCTCTCTCTCTCTCTCTGTCCCCTCTGTCTCTCTCTCTCTCTCTCTCTCTCTCTCTCTCTCTCTCTCTCTCTCTCTCTCTCTCTCCTCTCTCTCTCCTCTCTCTCTCTCTCTCTCTCTCTTCTCTCTCTTCTCTCTCTCTCTCTCTTCTCTCTTCTCTCTCTCTCTCTCTCTCTCTCTCTCTGTGTTGTCTGTCTGTCTGTGTCTTTCTCTCCCTCCCTCTTTCTGTTTATTCGTCTTTCTCTCTCTCTTTCTCTTTCTTGGTCTTCTCTCTGTCCCTCTTTCTCTCTTCGGGATATCCGAACATACACACACATTTAAAAAATCGGTTAAAAACATTAAATTGGATCAGTAACTTTTTTTCAACTGATGGTATAGAGTTTTTTTAACAACATGTTCCCTAACCCTCCTCTCTCTCTCTCTCTCTCTCTCTCTCTCTCTCTCTCTCTCTCTCTCTCTCTCTCTCTCTCTCTCTCTCTCTCTCTCTCTCTCTCTCTTTCATTTTCTCTCTCTTTCATTTTCTCTCTCTTTCATTCTCTCTCTCTTTCGTTCTCTCTCTCTCTCTTTCGTTCTCTCTCTCTTTCTCTCTTTCTTTCTCTCTCTCTCTCTCTCTCCTCTCTCTCTCTCTCTCTCTCTCTCTCTCTCTCTCTCTCGTCTCTCTCTCCTCTCTCTCTCTCTCTCGCTCTCTCTCTTCCCTCCCCCCTCTCTCTTTCTCTCTTTCTTTCTCTCTCTTTCTCTCTCGCTCTCTCTCTCGCTCTCTCCCTCTCCTTCTCTCCCTCCCCCTCTCCCTCTCCCTCTCCCTCTCCCTCTCCCTCTCCCTCTCCTCTCCCTCTCTCTTCTCTCTCTCTCTCTCTCTCTCTCTCTCTCTCTCTCTCTCTCTCTCTCTCTCTCTCTCTCTCCCTCCCTCCCTCTCTCTCTCTCTCTCTCTCCCCCCCCCCCACCCTCTCTCTCTCTCGAATTTATTAAAACTCTCGATTTTTATGGAACGCAAACGAGATATGAAAAGTCGATTGTAACTTCAAACACCAATGTATTGATTCGCCTGATATTTTCCATTTACCTTTCGTTTTTGCATACAAACTGCAAATGCGCAAAAAATATACTATGCAGTTGGAACACTAATGAAACATCCATTCTCTATTTTCTTATTTATTTATATATTTATTTTCAAAATCAGGATGGGTGATAAGATACGAATGTAATGTGTTTACATAACGTCGGTGTTTTTCGAAATTCGTCTGAGGCAACAGAGAGAGATAAATAAATAGACAGATAAAGAATAAAGATAAATAAATGATACAGTGAGTAGGGATATCTGCAAAAAACGAATTAGTAGATTGATAGAATAACGGATAACTGATAATCATAAAAAACGCAGTTACATTAACACATATGTCATGGATTGGTGGATAGATTGATAGATAGACAGATTGGTAAATAGATGAATAGATAAAGAGATAGATGGATTGATAGAAAGATAGATAGATAGAAAGATGGATAGATAAACAGTTATATAAATATAAATAGTTAGACAGGTAGATAGATAAATAGATAAGAAAAATAACAGGAAACACACGCATACATACATACACACACACACAGAAATACACCCAAACACACACACAAACAAACAAACAAACACACACACACACACAAACACACACAGACACACATAATCCCTTCCCACACCTACCATTCCTCCCCCCCCCCCCCCCCGCGCCCGGACTCCCGAAGGACTCCCAAAAGACTCCCAAAAGACTCCCAAAAGACTACCTACCGAGGCATCCGTAAATCGTGTTGGCCAGGAGCTTGTCGCGATGGGAGAGGCCTACATAGCTCTCTCTCTTCCACATGCCTATGAGGCCTTGCAACATGGGATCCTTCGTGGCCACTGTTGTCCGTTCGTTGGCCGACCATTCCTGCAAGGGAGAGAAAAGATAGGGGGGAGGGGAGAATAGGAGTGGTATTTGTTTGTCTGTTTGTCTGTCGGTCTGTCTAGCTGCCTGTCTATAAATCCGAAGTATATATTAATTCCTCTGTCTGTCAGTTAGTTAGTTTGTCCATCCTTCTGTCTACTTATCTACCTGCTTGCCTTGTCTCTGTCTTTATATATGTCTATTAGTCTATCTATCTATCTATCTGTCTATCTATCTATCCATCTATATACCTATCTATATGTCAGTCTTAAGAAGTTCATTCCATATGTACTGAAATACGAATATCCACATTCTAATTCAAAAAAGAGTTATTTCTTATTTGTCTTTTGATATGGAACAGAGTAAAACAAAACAATAAAACATGATGATGCTAGGTACTAATATAACGAACAACATAGTCAAAATAATAACATTGCTCGCAACAACAATAAAGAAAAAACACAAACATACAGACATTGTGTCTCATTCTTCTCTCACTTTCGGTCTTCGTAAGTCATCGGTTCTCAGCCTTTTTAGCCTCAGCTTCCTCTTCAGTAATTGTCAAAGTCTTCGCGGTTCTCATCTCATTACAAACAGATTGAAGTATAAAATGCGGGTGCAGAAAAAAACTGTATTTTTTTTTTTAAGTAGTTTTGTAGTTTTTTATCATCTTGTTTTTTTATTGGTTTATATGATTAACAGAAGTGATTAACATAAGTAACGTGATTAAATTGATTAGATAGATAGATAGATAGATAGATAGAAAGATAGATTATTGAACCACACATCACGTTTGAAGATTACTGGAAAACAACAACAACAACAACAACTTTGATAATAAACTATGCGTGATTCGTCAAAATCAGCCGTACAAGCAATATTGAAAATCCCCACTTTACCTGGACGCGTGTATCTCATGGCAACCGGCTGTGTTCCCCCCTCCCCCCCCTACACTTTTTCAGGACCCCCCCCCAGGCTGAGAATTACAGGCACCTCCACTACTCACCGCAAACATAACATAAAATCACATAATATTTTTTTTTTCATCGCCCAACATAACAGCATACAGACACAAAGCACGTAACAACACTAAAAATAACACCGTCATTATCATTCTCCTTTATACCACTACCGCATCATCATCAACATCATCACCATCCTCCTCCTCCTCCTCCTCCTCCTCATCATCATCATCATCATCATCATCATCATCATCATCATCCTTCTCCTCCTCTTCCTCCTCCTCCTCATCATCATCATCATCATCAATCCTCCTCCTCCTCATCATCATCATCATCATCATCATCATCATCACCACCACCACCACCACCACCATCATCAAAAGCAAACTCACCAAGGTATTATAATGCATCACCGAAGACAGATCGTACTTGATCGAAACGTCGAGCCAATGCAGCTTGTAGAAATTAAATCTCTCGTCCTTCAAGATATTCTTCTCGTTGACAACCACGTGCTCGTCTCGGTCGGGGCGTCGGATCTCGTGGTAGAAGCCCACGGCGTGACCCACCTCATGGACCACGATGCCCAGCTGGAAGAGGGGGAGAGAAAGAGAGATAGAATGAGATGAGGAGAGAGAGAGGGGGGTGGAGAGAGAGAGAGAGAGAGAGAGGAGGGGGTGGGTAGAGAGAGAAGGGGGTAGGGAGAGAGAGAAGGGGGTAGGGAGAGAGGGATAGGGAGGGTGGAGAGAGAGAGAGAAGGTGGGGAGAGAGAGAGGGGGGTGGAGAGAGGGATAGGGAGGGTGGAGAGAGAGAGAAAGGGGAGAGAGAGGGAGGTGGAGAGAGAGAGAGAGAGGAGGGATGAAGAGAGAGAGAGAGGGGGGGTAAAGAGAGAGAGGGGGGTAGGGAGAGAGGGATGTGGAGAGAGAGAGAGAGAGAGGGTTGGGGAGAGAGAGAGGGGGTGGAGAGAGAGATGGGGGGGGGGGTAAAGAGAGGGGGGTAGGGAGAGAGGGATGTGGAGAGAGAGAGAGAGAGGGGGGGGGGGGAGAGAGAGAGAGAGGGGGGGGTGGAGAGAGAGAGGGGGGGGTGGAGAGAGAGAGAGAGGGGGGGTGGGGTGGAGAGAGAGAGGAGAGAGGGAAGTGCAGAAAGAGAAAGGGGGGTTGAAGAGAGAGAGAGAGAGAGAGAGAGAGGAGAGAGAGAGAGAGAAAGAAGGAAAGAAAGAAAGAGAAAGAGAGAGAGAGAAGATGAGTTTGGTTAATGTGTATCCCTCCTTCCCTCATCCCTCCCCTCTACATCCCCCCCACCCCCTCCCCCGTCCCTCACCCAATGCCCTCACACCTATCAAGACAAATGACTTCACTGATACTTTCTTCGCCTTGAGTTGCATTGTCTTCGATGACATAATGAGAGAGGAAGAGATGAAGTCGTTAAGCGATGTATGAGGCTATTGCGAATGAGGGGCTGGGAGAGGGAAGTGAAGCAGGAAGAGGAGGAGGAGGAGGAGGAAGAAGAAGAAGAGGAAAGAGAGGAGGAAGAGGAGGGAGTAGCGGAAAAGGGAGGTAAGGGAGCGAGGGGAGGAGATAGAGAGAGAGAGATAATAGATGGTGAGAGAAAATGAGAATGGAGAGAGGGGGGGAGGGAAGGAGAAAAGAAGGAAGAAGGGAGGGAGGGAGGTAGGGAAGGAGGGGAAGAGAGAGGGGGAAGTAGAAAAGAGAAAGGGAGAATATAAGACAGAG